ATACGCAACCATTAGCTCATGCTTACCCAGAAAAACAAGTCTGCCTGACGAAGCTCAAGAGCCAACAAGGATTTCCTGTTAACATTTGTCACATGGTCCTTGGTGTGCTCTCACAAATCGTAGCAAAGGGACAAGTCGTAGCAAAACTTCCACAAAGGGAAGTTATGTGGAAAATAATGGAAGAACTGTTCTTCACACTGTATTTTCTGTACCTTGGGGAAATTGCTACTGTTTGATTTTATCATCAGGGTACCTGTGCTTTTGGAATGTGGTGCTCTGTTGATTAATCAAGCTCTTTCCCACTTATCCCCTTTCCTCTCCTGCCTCTCCCTTTGCTAGCGGGCCTGGAAAGGATTACCCTTTCCCCTTCCTTTTAACTCAAGCGTGCTGGGCTGATGCAGCTGTGGTGCAGTGAGGAATCCTCCTGACCATAATGTGCTCCAGTTTTGCTGTTAATTTCCACAGTTCTTTCTCACTGACAGTTTTCTTTTTCTCTCTCTCTTCCTCCTTCACCCATCCCACTTCCCTAACTCACTTCTGGTCCTAACCCTGCTCTCTTGCGTGCGCTACCCTTCTGCTATCCCATGATGGACGCCCACTCACGGCTGGGTTTCCTTCTGCTTGGCAGGGCATCGCCACTGGCGTAAGTAGACCTGCAGTGTCTGTCTCCTCATCTGTCTGGTTGCAGGATGGTGTGTGGGTTTGGTGGGATGTGTCTGAGGACCAGTGGTCAGTCCATGGCGCTCTGTCCACCTTCCCCACACCTGCCTCTCAGCCACACGACATCCTACAATGGCAGATACTTGTTTTTTGGGGTCCACCATATAATGTCAACATGGCTACAAAAATCCAATAATGGTACTCTCTGTGTCCTCACCCACCAGCCTGGGCTTTATCCTGTGTTTTCTTTGCCATGATTTGTTGAGACTTCCCCAGCCTTTCCTTTCTGCACTGGGACTGGGTAGACCTGGAGGTCAAAATGCAAATTGGGTCATTATTTAGTGCCAGAAGATGACAAAAGAACTTCTAAGGGCCGGTCCCCAGAACCCGCTTAAGAGATAGATCTGTAGGAGACAAAGCCTTTCAGAATTATCCAAGCAAAGTAAAAGATGAGTCAGATTCAGAAGTAAATGTCAGAGGTGACCTTGGTGCTTTGGAAACCATGGAGTCTTTTCTGAGGCAAGAAACAAGCTAGATGTGGCTCCTGAGAGCAGCCTCTAAGGCAGGGTCCCACAACTACAGCACCTGCTCCATCCTCTCTCTGCCTATGTTGTCCATGTAGCAGCAGAGACACCAATCTCGGCTTTGTACACAGTTTGGTGGGAAGGCAGCCACAGTGCTGAATTGCTGGAGCCTCATTCTTGACAGCTTTCTCAACACAAAGGAGCTCCTCCTGGGCATCCAGGGGAAAATGGCAGCAAATGCTTGCTATCTGCTTTCTGCATTATGAAGCCCCACATAGACAGGCTTTGGACAGGGCCTGGGCTTGGCTACATACCTTCCTTCTGTCACTGCACAGTCCACACACATCCATCCCTTCCCTCTCCTCCTAGCAGGCTAGGAGTCAGGACCAGGGAACCTGGCTGTGCCCAAAGACCTTAGGAACTCTTGGGATCCTTCTTTTGTGGGAAATGTTTCCCATAGCAAGAGCAAGAGCCTACCCTTTCCTTTGCTTCTTGGGAAGCAGCAAGCTCCTCCCAGAGAAATCTGCAGATTCTATATCTGATCTAAACCACAATCTCACAATACCTGGCTTTCTGGGATAGGGCAGAGCCTTCAGGGAAGTAGGGACAACTCCATTTACCCTCTATTCCTTTTCACCTCTACTCTCATGACTCATCCCAAGTCAGGTCCTACAGAACCAGTCAAGAGACTAGGCCAATTCTACCCAGCCACCTGCAGAGAGGGTAAAAAACACCCTATGTGCTAGGGGGATCCTGTCCTGGTTAGTCTGTCCGCTTTGGGGCAAGGGAAAGCAGAAAAGAGGGCGCTAGAAAGGGCCGGGGAAGACAGGCGGGCAGGAAGGTGCTGGGTAGGGCATACCTAGACTGGGCCATGTCTGCATGTGGTCAGAGCGTCTGGTCTGTGCAAGCCCCTATAGGCAGAAGTGACCTTTCTGAACTTCCTGACCATAAAATGCCTGACAAAAGGAATATTGTACAAGCTAGGTGTGGCGGTGCACAGTTTCAGCACTTAGGAGACTGAGGCAGGAGAACAGTGAGTACTGGGCAATATAGCAAAACCTCTCTTCCAAAAAAGCTCCAATAAAGTAGAAAAGAATAATAATAACAAAAGAAAAAGAAAAGACACTGCAGCGAGCTGGGGCACCTAAGTTGTAACTCAATGACGTCCCTATCTACCATAGCCTAGAGCTAGTCAGCTGACCTCTCTGGACCTCAGTTTCAACATTTGTGGGAGGAAAGAGCTAGTTGACACATATGCTGTTGCTCTAGGCCTGGTCTGGGCCCTCCCTGACCTATGAGAGGATTTTCTGAGCAACTTAGATCCACAATCTGACCTATAAGACCTTGGCTTCAGGTGGAAATCCCTGCACCTGAGAGGCTCCAGGATCCCTGCTGGCTTTGATATGGGACTGAAAATTTCATTCAGCTAAGAATTTTAAATGCTTACTATGTGCCAGACCCTGAGAGCTCAAGAGAACATCACTAGGTCCCCCTCAAAAAGGTGTTGCCATGGCGTAGAGGACCCATGCGCCCTTGCAGGGCCACACAAACTTTCCTGCTTTGCTTTTCATAACATTTCCAGGCCTGCTGCCTCCTGCAGTTGAGCTACTAGCCCTTCCAGGAAGCAGGGGGGTGGGGGTGGGGTCCGGGTCCTGAGGAAACTTCCAGGTTCCCCAGAAGGCCTGTTCTCATCCTGCCCCACACTCAGGGCCTGATCAAGAAGGCTAAACTCACTTCAAGGAGACAGGCTTACCTCCTCCTTCCCTAAAAGGACTTCAGCCTGTGGAGTGGGACGTCTTCAGATCCAGAGTTAGCACTGGGGAGGAGCCACTAGGAAGGATAGAAATCTCATGTGCAAGATCAACTGTCCTACTGGGTCCTCCCTAACCTCTGAAATCCCTGAGCACTGAGAACCTAGGCCATCCCCATCTCAGCTTCTCTGATAGCAGTGGGTAAAGAGGTAGTGGGTACAGAGGCTGGGGGCGGGTTGTGGAGTGGAAACTAAGTGGTGGAGGCAGAGTTTCAGCCTAACCTCCACTCATACCTCTTCCTGGCCTGCAGGAGCCTCCCTGTGAAAGACCTGGCTGTGGACAGTGCCTCTCCCGTGTACCAGGCTGTCATCAAAAACCAAAGCAAGCCAGAAGATGAGGCTGATGAGTGGGCCCGCCGGTCCTCCAACCTGCAGTCTCGCTCCTTTCGCATCCTGGCCCAGATGACAGGGACAGAATATAGTGAGTGAAGGTGTTAGGGTGGGACCGGAGGAGGGTGAGGCAGAGGGATCCTGGGTCCTGCTACTCAGTCTTAAGGCCCACAGAAACCAAGGAGTCAAGTCACCATCCCATGAGGATGAACTGACATTGATGGTCAGTCAGCTCCTTTTGGCTTCTAGGGTGGGACTTCCACTCTAACCCCTGACTCTAGCCATGAGCCCCTGCCTTGTGACACTGCTTCCAGGCCATGAGTTGGGAGAAAAGAGCCTGTAGGTTCACTCTGATCACTCCCTCCCAACTGCATTGTGCTCTCTCAACTCCCCTGGCAGAGAGGCCTGGCAGGCACACTCCTCTCCACCACTGGCAGGATGGTACAGGAAGTGTTCAGTGACTGGCTGACTCCTAGGGACTTACTGTTTACAAAGTTCTATTGGCTTTCCTTTATTATGTTTACTGTGAGTCCTCCTGACCAACTCCTTTTTCCCACAGTGCAAGACCCTGATGAAGAGGCTCTGCGAAGGTCAAGGTAGGTGTCTGGACTTGGGCTCCATGGCCTTGCCCTATAGCCCCATCCTTCCCCAGTCAGCTCCCAGGCCACATGGAAGGAACCTCTCAAGTTCATGTATTTGGAAAGCCTGGCCCTCAAAGGGACCCAGCAGATGCTGGCATGGGTGGCTTTCCTGGGTCAGTGAGGTAGGTCTAGGAGTAAGGACTCTGGGCTCTCCTGGCTCCATCCCTGGGCAGGGGCAGGGCTGCTTTGGCCTTCGCTGGGCTGTGGAGAATGAGGGCATCTCTCCCTGTGAGGGCAGTGGGCCAGTGCCTTGTCTGCCCACTCACATCAGGGCTTCTCCCCTTGTGAGTCTAAAGGCTGGGCACTGAAAGCAGGCACATAGAGGGCCATGCTGGGCACAAATGCCTGACCCCTGGATTCAGCTGCCCACACCTACAGTGAAGCACCAGTTCTATAAATTTCTCTAAGTATATCAGCTGCTGCAAGAAAGGACAAGCTCCTGGCACAAGGAGGAGCTTATAGAGAGCTAGGGGTCTCAGGGCATGATCGCCTGGTCAGTGGCAGGTCTGAGGCACTCACCTACCATCTATGCCCTGTCAGGAGCTGTAGCCCTGGCATGAGTGTGGCATGGCTGTTTTGAAACCCGCTGGACCCCATGAGGGCCTTCCATGGTGAGGCATGGGGCCCATGTGATTATCTGTTCACTTCTGGTAGCAAATGTGTCATCTGCATGCTCTTTCTGGACAGTCTGTCTGGGACCAATGCATCCTATGGTGGCCTCTCTGGGAGGGACTGGGGCTCAGAGGCATGCTATACCCTGAGCCAAGCTTTCTGTACTTGCTAACCACACATGGTAGCCACAGAACTCGAGAAGAGTAGGATTCTGGAGCCAGCTGGGACTCCATGTGTGTTTTATTGTTGAAGTTGTGTTTTTGCCAACCCAAGCTGCTCCCTCTTTTTGGCTGGGAGTGTGCTTCTCCCAGCCCTGCTAAGGGTGGCATGTAGTCCCAGAAATACGCTTAACCCTTTAACGCCTGAAGTGCATTAAACAGAATGCCAAACAAGATGATGCTGGATTTAGATCAAATGTAGAGCGCCAGAAGCTTTACATGTGGCTGAGCTCTTGGTTCTAGGTTCCTCCTGAGGTTTGCTGTCTCTACGTGCTAATTCTGTGTTTGTGCCACTCTCTTCATTGAAGCCACCCACACAGAACAAGGAAGACTTTCCCAAAGACCCAATGGGATCTTTATGCTACCTCCCCTCCCAGTAAACAGCTTAGGTACCCCAAGGGTCCTTCCTTCGGGAAGTCAGCAGAAGACTTTTTTGCTCCCTTCTATAAGACACATGCTCTGTCTTCATGGTCTTTGCCATCTCCTGTCCAAAACACAAGCCAGTCATGCTAAGCTTATGCCTCGTTGTCAGCTACCCATCCTTAGAAGGAAAAGGGTCCCAGTAAAAGAAGAGCTAATCTGCCATTTCCTGTTTCCCCTGAAACATTAACAGACAGTGCCATAGGGTTTCATCAGAAGGAAATCTGGGAAAAGGGCCAGAGAAGAGGCTCCAACCTGCTCCCTCCTCCCATCCCAGGCAACCCCTCCCAGGGTCTCAGGTCCTGCAGTGGAGGCTCTGGGGCCTCAACATGCCTTCCCCCTAGGACAAAAATGTGCACATCTCCTGTCTCTGTTTTCCTGATTTTAATTTCTTGAGAGTTGTCCTCATCAGCAGAGCCGTTCATGTCTCCGAATTCCAGCAGCCCAGAGCCACGGGGGCTGTGCATGCACCCGTTCCATTCTGCTTTGGAGTAAAATGCCAAGCAAAGTATATAGTCATTGGGGTCCTAGGCACACCCAAGTGTTCACATGAGCAGAAGGGAGCATCCTTGTCCCTCGTGTGCCAACTGTAGCCTGCTCAGGGGGCTTACTCCTCAGTAGGTTGAGCCACTCAAGATCCATCCGGACTCCAGAGTTGGAAGTTGTGCCCCAGGCCCTGCTGAACTACCTTGTGAGCCAAGCACAGATACCACCCTGCACTTCCCTCCTCCCACATTGGGCCCTACTATTCTAGCACCTAGCAAGTCTGAAAGCCACAGCTGGAAACACCAGGACATCCAAATGATGCAGTCTAAGTAGACCTGGCAGGCTCTCTTCCTTTCTTTTTCTCTCCTCTCTTTCTCTTTCTCACTCCCATAGATCTTCCTCTTCTTGTCTTTTCTTTGGTTAGCCAGGAATTTCAAAACAACATCAGAGTAGGCTTACTAGTCTAAGACTGTCCTTCATCTTGTCACTGAACATGGATGACACATTGTCACCCAGCCTTAGTGGGCTTTGGTAGAACTGACAATTTATTGGCAACTGCCTGTGTCTCATTTTGTACCCCCATGTCCTAGGTAGTCTCTATGGATGGTCAGGATTGTTTGCAGGACTGTGTGGATCCTACCACAGGACCTTTGTTCATGCTGTCTTCACCTAGTCACTCTGATCTCAGAGAGACAATTATGTGGCAGGGGAAGGTGCCCAGCGCTTAGTTGTTGTTTTCACTGCTGAGCTTCTGTGTGGCTTTGGAGTACTCATGTGGACATGTCTGAGCCCCTTGGTATAATGAAAAGGTTGGACTAGACTAGTGGTTTACAGCCATATTAGCAATGAGCCCCCTTTGTGCAACGGTCTTACAGAGAACCAATGTGCTGGACTCAAGGGGCAGAGTGAGAGTATGGCAGGTCATGCATCCGGGGAAGTGGACCTCTGTAAACATGGGGAAGTGGGGATGTGGGGACCAGGACCTAGTAATTATTACTAGGCAGAATGCTGGTAAGACCAGCATTGTCACATCTTCTGGTCTGTTTCTAAAGTTGACCTTTGTGGTTTTTGCATGCTGACAACTCATTTCTTAAATTAGACTTTTCATTTTGAGGCAGTAGCCAATTTACTTGCAGCTATAAGAAATGACACAGAGACTTTACATACCCTTTTCCTGCTTCCATGTTTCCAGTGGCAGACTCTTGCAAAATCATAGCAAAATGTCACACTGATAATGGCAACACTGCTTGAATGTTCCCACCATTAAGGCTGTTCCTCAGGCTTCCATGCTGCCACCCAGCCTCTGGTGATCAGCAATCTGTTATCTGTTTTCCGTATCTATTACTTTATTGTTTTTAAGACTATCCCACAGACAGGGCCGAGCGAGCGTGGTGTCGTACACCTTTAATCCCAGCACTGCAGAGGCAGGTGGAGCTCTGTGAGTTCAAGGCCAGCCTGGTCTACATACCAAGTTCCAGGCCAGCTGTGGCTACAGGGAGACTTGCCTCTGGAAAAAAAAAAAATCCTACAGATGGAATCATACAGTATATGACCATTTTAGGACTAATTTTTTTAATCAGCATAATTCCCTGGGACTTTATCCAAGCTGCTGAGTGAACAGTACAGGTTGAGCATCCCTATTCCAAAAATCCAAAATCTGAAGTGCCCCCCGCCCAAAAAAAATTTTTGAGCACCAAGACAACACCACAGGTGGAAAATTTCACATTTGACCTTATGTAGTGGAGCTCAGTCAAAACACAGGTTCCAGGCTAGAATGTAGCTCAGTGGCAGAGTCCTTACCTATGTATATGAGGCCCTGGGTTCAGTGTCCAGTACCACACGATGGAGGGGAGCAAAATGCACAAGTGACATAAAAATACTGCCTTTAGCTGGGCTTGGTGGCACACGCCTTAAATTCCAGCACTTGGAAGGCAGAGACAGGTGGATCTCTGTGAGTTCAAGGCCAGCCTGGTCTACATAGTGAGTTCCAGGACAGCTGGGGCTACAGGGAGACCCTGTCTCAAAAAGACCAAAAAAAAATATATATATATTGCCTTTAAGCTGGGTGTGGTGGTGCACACCTTCAATTCCAGCACTCAGAAGGCAGAGGCAGGAGGACCTCTGTGAGATAGAGGCCAACCTGGTCTACATAGCGAGTTCCCGGTCCACTGGAGCTACAGGGAAACCCTGTACCAAAAAACAAAAACAAATTACCTTTAGGGCTGTGTGTATAAAATGTATATTAAATATAAATGAGGGGCTGGAGAGATGGCTCAGCGATTAAGAGCACTGTCTGCTCTTGCAGAGGACCTGAGTTCAGTTCCCAGCCCCCACATAGCAGCTAGCACCCATCCATAACTTCAGTTCCAGAGGAATTTGACGCCCTCTTATGACTTCCTTGGGCATTGCAGGATATGGGTGCACTTACATACATGCAGGCACTACACTCATACACATAAAATAAAAATAATAATTAAAACATAAAAAAGAAATACAAGCTAATTTTATGTTTAGACATGGAGCCCCAAGATATCTCATTATATGTGTGTAAATATTTCAAAAACACCTGAAATTCTAAACAGTTTTGGTCCCAAGCATTTTGGATTAAGGTTATTCAACCTGTAGTTCATTTGTTCCTTTTTATTGTTAAGTAGCATCCCATGACATGGAGATAGTCATTAAATTTTTTTTAATGTTTATTTATTTACAGTATTGAGGGTGGAACCCAGGGCCTCACATGTGCTAAGCAAGTGCTACCTCTGAACCCCCTCCCCCTGCCACCACTTCAGCCAGGAGGATTAGGATTCTAGCTAGCATTGGGAACCGGTCTTTCCTTACTTTTCTCCTCCCTTTCATTTCTGACCACTGCTTGCCCATTCAGTGCTGTGCCCTCACCTGAGTGGCTGTGGGTTGAGCCTCCCAGAGGTACCATTGGCAGGAAGTACCAGGTCCTATCCCATTGTTTTTGTGACACTGGCCTTATGAGTATGTGTGTGTACTTGTGCACTAGGCCATACCTGGGCTATTCTCAGGCCTGGGCCTGTGGGGGCCTGAGGCACGTGTGAAGGTTTCTCTTTGGAGACGATGAAGGTGAGGAACACCAAGTAGCACAGGGAGGTGACAGGTCTGCCCACCAGCCCTCATAGGAGTTAGGTGCTTCTCCTTCTTGGTGCCCAGCTGGGGACAGAGACTATTCTGGGTCTGCCTGGCTATTTGGTT